AACATGGTTCGGTATAAAAGCCTACCCAAGGGTGAAGCACGGCGAATAATTTCACTAAACAAACGGAGGTTATAAAAATAGTGTTTAACTATCACAACCAAAATTCCACAAATTATAAACTCTAAACGAAACAAATAAAGAATCCAAAACAAACATAGGAGATTCTTCCAAATTGTTCTCTAACTCTCAAACTCACATATTTACTCACTAACTTGCTAACCGAATGAGTCATGGATTTGCCACGCACTCATGATTCCAAAAAGTGATCTCCATCCAAAGTCATAAGAGAGAAAACTCTTTAAACTAATGTGTGAGACACACAAAATAAACTAACCCTAAGTTCCTTTTTATAGTGCATAAAACTTTGGTAACAATGAGAATCTTAATTCTAATTGGAAGTAAACTAAATCCTAATAAGAAAAATGATTAACAAAATCTATCTACCAAGCAAGAAATTTAACCAATAAGTCAATTTCAAACTTAAGTAGGGCACCTAAAAAAAACAGGAAACACAAATCTAATTTCGTCATTCTAATTTTGAACTGTAAATGACAACAACAATGGAAGAAACAAACGGAAGACTAGTTCCTGCATTGTTCTTTAATTCATCCTATCCTATTATGTGTAAAACTTATTTCTTCTTTTGTTTTGGTAATTGTATAACGTTGAACATCTGCGGCTTTCAATGGTCTTTTTTTCCCTAGCTAGCTAGAAATATGCACGTACCATTACCATTTCCTGCATATGCAAACCCTAACCATATATGTATGACAATTCATTTGATGGAGAAAACGAGGGATCTTTCCCATCAAATTCTAGGGATCCGGAGATCCGAATTCTTGAAATTTAATTCAACAGCTATAATTATTATAAATTTTAAAATAGCCTCTTATTGTAATCGTTGGATCAAATTTTAAAGATCCAGATATCTGAATTCATAGGATTTAGTAAGAGAGATCTGGATGGATCTGAAAAGTGGGCGTTGCATGTATAAAAGGAAACCAAGAACTTTCTACGTTATACAACCAATATAAAAAGGACACCTCATTGCTAGGCTTTTGATTTGATGGAGACTAGTGGGCGTTCCATATTTGAGTTTTTTCAGAAAAATATACATGAATAAATATATTCAAGCAAGTTCTGGAGAGATTTTTCAGTGTTTTCGTCACACGAAGTAGCACATCATGTGTCCTTATATAAATGTTGTGTTATATGTGTTAAAAGGTTAATAACTTAAAAATTAAAAATTTCCACCATTTACATAAAAACAGGTGGTGTACCATCCGTATTCCCTTCGCAACAAAATTTTTTTCCCAAGTTCTGATATATATTCTGATTCCCTGTTGATATCAATGTGACTGATTTGTCAGCATCTCAGCCTACACTACGTACTCTCATAGGCAGTAGAAGAGGAACAGTCTTTTAACTCCGGGTTTTTGGATGCTGCTTTTGAGCTCAACTGGCAGAAACTTCAATTCCAAATTCATATCAGTGGACTGGGAAAAAACGAAGATTATGTACTTTCGTTTTTCATTGTTTATGGGCAACTTCCAGTTGTAATTCTACCAGACCAAATCCATGAAAACCGTTGCCCTTCTTTTTGAGTTTAGGGTTTTGGGGGAGGAACTGGAAACTTTATGGCCATTTCGTGCAAAAATGCATGGTTGGTGCTATGATAAACACGCGGGCCAGCACCTGACCGGCTTTCCTCTTTCCATCTTTGTCTTCCACTTTGAATCAAATGTCCTGGAGATGTGATTGATACCTAATTATGGCAAAGCAGAAGATATTATCGAGTACGGCCCAAAAATGTCATGAAAACTGTGTAGCACTCGTGCACCAAATATTGTCCAATCATCTTTTTTTTTTTAAAGGCTCCTTTATTAATTCGTAATTAAAACATGAGGAGTTGGAATTGGATTCTTGTTGTAATTGTTTACTAAAATTATCTGAAATCAAAGTAAAAATAGTATTGAATTTGTATAAGTTATTTACTAATTCATCGGAATTGGAATACAATCCAATACAATTACTAAAATGTCCTTATTAAAAATAATAAATTGTATTATTATTTATATACTAATTAATTAAAAAAAGGGAAGTTTTGAAATAGATCTAATTTTATAAGTCTATTTTTGAAATAGATATAATTTTTAGTGACTTTTAACTTTGAAATAGATTCAATTTTTTGTTACTTTGGATTCATATTAAAATACCCCTAAAAAAATTATTTATTAAAAGAGAAAAAAAAATTAAATAAAAAATAAAAGAAACCCTAATCAATCTTATCATTTTCTCTTTCATCAAAAAACAAAAAAAAAACAAAAAGAATTATATTTCTGTTCATAGAAACCTATTCCACATCGCCACCGTACCGTAACCATCTCTCTCTCTCAATCCACTGCATTATGATTTCAAGATTATCTGTTTCAAGTTCACGGCATCTAATGGCAAGTGGATTTGGATTGGGTTGATTGATGGCTTGGGGTGGTTGCGGTGATCAGGGAAGGAGTGGCACTGGACAAGGGCGCTGGGCAGCAGAGGATGGATCTGCTCTGGTAATGTGAAGGGTAGTGTTGGAATTTTGAAAATGAAGTGAGGGTATAATTGGTTGAAGATTTGGATTCCAGATTCCCCATAACACCTGGAATTGAACTATCACCTACATCTAAGGAATCTAATTCCACCAATACAAGGCGTTTGCATTCCAAAATTTGTGTGGGGTCCACTGCTTTTTTTATTCCTCAATGTTTAGTAAACACCGGAGTACTTCGTAATCGAAATTCAATTCTACATTTTCATTTTGATTACGGATACGGAAACACATCATAAGTTAGGACCATAGGGAGCAGAACTCTTAGCCTTAGTCCAGTAGTATATCGCTCTTTTTCGTAGATTTCCGCTACCAAGCATGTCAATATAGTTATATAATCAGATTACCATTATGGTTATAAATATTGAATAATCGAATATGCCACATAATCAGTCTAACTTTAAATTTTCTCGTTGAATATTAAGCTGGAATTATTTTCTCGTAATATGATATTGTTTTTCAACATGGAATGAGGGGGAAGGCGGGCTAAAAGGAGGGAGGGAGGGAGGGTATAGAATGAGTTAGTTTTTAGTATCTTTAAATTTTAACTTTGGTCAAGTGTCTCTCCTCTTGGCCTCTTGGTACGTTTAGACAATATTAGTTTAGCTAAGCTTTCGGCTAGTCTCTTGTAGCAACAATCTCAAGCATTTTGGGTAAAGACATAAGCAATGGTTTAGCTAGTCTCTTGGAGATACTGATGTACTCAAATTTGTTGAGAAATTGTTCACTCCGTATTTAATTTGTCTTTTCTTACCTTGTTATCTCGTCATTATAATTAAACAGCCCTTGATTAAGAATGCGATTTGTTTTATTATTAATATTCACGTTTGGGTTGCAAATAGACCTATTTACCAAAAACAAAAAGTAGAACCTCAATTATTTATTTCTTACAAGAAAATTTTCAATTAAAATTCTTTTTATCGAAGACAATCTCTGGCGAAAAGAACTGCAGGCATGATTATGCTCTTAAAGCTTCTTCCTTCATCCAGTCTTTTCAATCCATGAAAGAAACTATTCAGACTCTAATAGACCGTCTCCAGCCTAAAGTTTGAGGACGTTGGGCCCAAAGTCCTGCCTAAAATTTAATACCCAGGCCCGCATTTCTTAAGGGGTGAATGGTAACTTTTGGGGTGTCAAAATTTGGTTTTGTTTTTCTTTTTAACAAACAGTAGGATAACTTAGGTTGAATCCATATAAATTAGAAGGGAGAAAAATTCAAACTTGGGTGCAAATTGAGAAATACATTCCTCTAACTAACTTAGCTACATCCAGATCGGCGAAGATGAAAAATATTAGTGCATATATCAATCCAACAAAATACCATGAAAAGCAGCTAACTTCTTTAACATCATGATGATTTGATTAACTGTCCCCAAAGTGCTTTTGTCCACCAAAGGCTTTATGCACAACAAACCTCTTATCACTTTTTTTTTTGGTCAAGGTAAATTTTATTACCAACAAAGTAAATGTACACAAGACCCAATTACAAGAACAGTATAAAAAAAAAAAAAAAACAAAAGATCTCCAAAACAAAACAAAAAAAAAAGGCTAAACACAAACCCTAGCAGCTTGCGACCCCCGCCCCGGACGCAGCGCAGATCCACCAATATGAACCAGCATGAGATCCAACCAAACGACGCCCCAAAAGTCAAGGAAATGAAAGAAAATAAGGCTCCATCGTTCTCCATTGAGCACCACCACAAAGATTGCAGCCGCAAATCAAAGAAGCATGAGGTAATTCACATTCCGCAAGACACAATGCCGAAAGGCAAACGGGAAGCTGGTGGTGTGAACTCCTGAGTCGGAATTCTACACATCTTCCGATAGACCAGCAACTAATCGCGGTAAAGAGAAGTGGATGCAGAGCAAAATTGATGTTGGATCGAGGAGGCATGGAGGCAAAGGTATGAATCAGATTGATGAAAAACATGGAGGTGAACGGCATCAGGGAGTGGAGGACGGAGTTTGGAGCTAAGGACGGTGAAACCGAAGACAAGAGCAGTGTAGGACGGGAGATAGGAGAGAGTAGGGTTAAACACAAGCTAAAGCAAAAAGGAAGAGAAGGACCACCGATCCTAGTCATAGACATGGCCGGCAGTTGCAGAGAAGTTACCGGAATGGGAATCACTAAAAAACAAAGGTGAGAAATGCACTCAATGAGAGAGGACTCTAACCAAAACAGGAACCAAGATAAATTGAAATTCTTTGAAAAAATAATTAGAAACCAAATTCTAATTGCTGAAATGATAAAAATCAAACATTGATGACAGTCGATTACATATTTGACAAAATAACGATCAAATATAATCAACATACCGAAATTTGATCATTTCAACATAGAAAAAGCTTTTTCAAATTTTTTTTTTTGGTGGATAAGAAGCAAACATGAGCTCAAGCAACCGGAATGTAAAAAGGACTACAAAGGAATTAAATAAATACCATCTGGTACATTTAATTAAAAATATAAAATATAATCCAATGATCCAAAGCAGGTCAAAGATCCCACAAGAGCTCCAAAAGTGCAACAAACATGAACAACCAACCCAAATCCAGATCCGACCTGGACAACACTCACCGGTTTGTTCCACCAGGAACTATTTATGCACTAAATCCTCAAATGCTGAAGATTCATAGAAACGTATACATTATGTCAATTTAATTCTAAATATATAATTATATGAGAAAATATCAAGAGAGATCCTCTTCCCATCGATAACTAGGCCAAATTTGCTGTAGCACCATCCAGCGGGAATCCGGCAAATGCCACCCTCTCCCCTCATTACGCGGAGGCAAACCCCCAACACCTTCATCCATCCATCCATCCATCACGCTCAAAATCACATATTCTCCTCCAGAAAATGGAGGTTGTCTGACCCCAGAGATTGTAAAAACCAGCTGAGGGGGCAGTATGGGGAAAAGACAGCAAAAATTTCCCCAAAAGAACACCAACCATGCCAACATAAAATTTAACAGGAGTTAAAAAACCGAAACAAAAAAAACAAAAAAGTACAGCAATCCCAATAAACTCATGCTACTAGCTTGAGTTGTCAACGTTTAGCATTTTTTTCCTTCCCCAACTAGTCTTTTGCTTCTGTTCCTAGATGCTTCTCTTTTTCCCGATTTTTGTTTCTTTCTATTTGCCAGGTGAGAAAGCCCGTTTCATCATGCCAAGGCAGCAGTACTATTTTCCAAAAAAAAATAGAAAAAGGAAAAAAAAGAAAGAGAAAACTAGATATTCACCAGCGTGTCTTTTAAACCTCTCTTCCCACAAGTTCATTTCTCTCCACGAGTGCGCATCGTCAGTGCACATCCATGCCTCATACTCTAATTTCTTGCTGAAATAGAGCGATCAGCACCTGCTTGAACACCGAATTGACCTGTTCCATCACCACTGGATGGCTGCGGCTGATTATTGTTCTCAACATTGTTGTTAGTGGTCTTCTCGTCCAGTGCAATACTTTGGATATGAGCTGACAGCGTATCCGGACCGGAGTTTCCAAGGGCTTGAGAGCCTGAGGCATTTGGAGGCTGAGCGGCTGGCATTACCCATCTCTCCCAATCATTACGCCGCCTTATTTTATCACCCTAAACACCGTCACAGCACACAGCACAAGATTTGGCATCTTATCAGAATGTCATATTACACAAAACAAGTAACACTTTTAACTGTATATTAAGGGCTGGGTTGGACAGAGGGTGCTGGAAATGAAAAGTTGGGGGAGGATATTTAATACCAATACAACGATATTTTTTTCTTTTACATGATTACATAATTATGGGTTCAAGAATTACCTGTACTTCCACAACAGTTGACATTCTCATAGCATCCAGTATAAGCTGAATGTTGTCTGTCAAACTCAGAACCTGAGAAGGAAATAAGAAATTAAAACATTGACATTCTCATAGCATCCAGTACAAGCTGAAAGTTGTCAGTCAAAACAGAGGGGCTTGGATATAGGGATATTACGGAATTTTTAACCTTTGATAGATTCCCGCTTAATCACATACATAAAACTACATTTTGTCCAAAGGTTCCTATGATCTACCACAAATGGTTCTTCTGCAAAAGTCAGGTGGTATTTGGATTGTTGACCATGTTCTGATGGCTGCTTAACTTGGCACAAATGGAGAAGCTCTAAAATGCAAGCCAGTTATTATCCACACAAATACCACATTTTCCCTTTTGCAACTTGACAAAAAGATGAGAATTATAATTTTATTGCAAAGGTGGTAAATGTCCTCCTTTCAATTAAAAAAAAAGAAAGAAATAAAGATGCAATTCTATTAATTTATCTAGAAAGTGAAATAAAGTTTTTATATTAAATGGATATTTATATAAAGTGAAGGATTGAATGCACAAATGTATTCATAATTTCATCAATAATATTAACTTTGAAACCATGATTATAATTCCTAAATATACATTTTTTAAATCTAGTGAAACATTAAACAATCAAAGCCCGAGCAGCAAACTTAGTTTAAGTAGTTTGCTCAGCAGGTACAGTTGAAAATGAAATAAAACTGGCACAGAAAGTAAAGGACTTAATCCTAAATTTTTTCAGCAGATGATGAAAAGTCTGCAACACACACCTCTGTTAAAGTTTTATGTACAAAGACATGGACAACAGTGTACAAGCAGCAGAATACTGTTAGCATTTCAGAAAAGAAAAGATAGACTACCACATTGTTTAGAGACAAACGACTAGAAATACAGCTATAGTATAGAGAATTACAGCCTAAAGTAAATCACCGAGAAGCATATACTTGTTACTAAGGTTCCAAATTGTCAACTTTGATTCATTCTTTCACCAATTATACTACCTAAGTTTGTAGTAGGATAGCTACAAAAGAAACTAGTTTTCTAGTCTACAGACCAAAAAGAAAGACAAACTTTATGAGATATAACATTGAAGATGTGAGTTTTCTATCCAATTAAATTTTGATATATCTGGGCTACGAAGTAAGACATGGGCATAAATTTTATATTTCTCAATAGATAATAATAGAGAACAGACAAGGAGTACCATGCCAACGTTCTTATTAGTCATCCATAATTTTATAATTAAGTGTTTCTCATAGTGCTATTGCAAGACTGGAGTGAAAAAGAACAAAAGATACTTCTCCACGTTATTCTTTTTTTTCCCATTACAAATCCAACGAACAGAGAAGACACAATGAGACAGTTATAATCCAGTCTGTTCTCAAGACACATAATATGCAATTTAGAAACAAGAATACCACAATGAGCGTCTTGATGATGGAAGTAAATAAAGAATGAAACACATTGTACAAAATTGATTGGAACCTAGTATACAATGTCAACAAATAAGATGTCAATGGATATTAAGTAACTTCACCACTCATTACATGTGTATGACAAAACCACATAAAACTTAGGTTTGTTGGTCACAAAAGGACTATCCTGTAATTTCACATAAAACAAGACTCATGCCAAACTGAAGGTGTAAAAGGGTTCACATGGCAAGTTCATGTGGGTCAGTAGGAAAAAAGGGTTTGTTGAGTTGGATGAAAAATATTTTCAATTCTTAATCAAAATATACAAATAATACATAAGGCATAAATTACCTAAAGTAGTACATTTGGTTCCTATTAAACTCAAGACTCTTATAAAAACTTGAGCAGGAGACTGACACCACCTCAGACAAGAGGAAAGAACATCACACAGTGCAGGATGTCCTTAAAATATTGCCTGCTAACAAATTTTTTCTGTCGCACATCAACATTTGCTTGTACATATTATCCCATGTCAATGTAAAGATAACCGACAATAACAAAGAATAGCATCCCATACAGCACCACAGGACAGCAAATAAACGTTGACTAAAAAAAAGGAACAACAAACAAAGTGCTATTATACTTGGTATAAACTGTAAGTAATATTCCTTGTGTTTTTATTTATTTTCTCGTTTATTCATTTACATTCTTTAAATGTATAATTCAAAGTGCTTGATCGACAAATCCCAATGACAAACATAACCTACACATCACCTTGCAACAAGTGAAAAACATAAAAGTTAATCTTGAACATATAACATAAATCTGTATGCATAGATACACACAAATATGATATGTATATGCAACAAAAGACTAGATCATTACCACAATAACTAAAATCCACAAAGAAAGATTTCCCAAAAAACTCACTTTTTTGAAGCCTGCTATTAATTTAATACGAACCCATCCCTGGTCATCCATGTTCCGCCTCAAGTATGTATCTTTAATTAAATTGTCATTACTGCAATAAATGAGTATAAAGGGAAAAGAGCAGTTAAAGTTTCAAAGGAGCTAAAAGGGAAATGATGATTAAGGATCTTATGCAAATAAACACAAACAAGAAAGGAGTACCTGAAATAATAATCTATCTGATTAATGATTTTAGTATGCAGCTGAGGATCTGGAGCAGGAAACATCATGGGATGTCTCAGTGGTGCAACAAAAGGTACAAGTGGCTCATGCGGTGAATGTGCAACATATACCAGTTGATGAGGTTGCATATCTGAAAACAGAAACACATTAGAATAAAGTCGCAAGTTAAACGCATACAAGTTCAATTTGAACACGCCTGGTGTTTACCAAACCCTATAGGACCACCAAAAGCCCTCATCTGCGGCTGGTGAATAAATTGGGCAGCATTAGGTGGTGGTGGTGGAGGTGTTTGGTGAGGCCTCATCATCCTAGGGACACCTCTTGGAGAATGCATGTGGTTGTCTCTATTGTTAAAATTTCGAGGACTGTTCCAATCTTGATTTCCACGGTCCTGATCCCGCCTATAGTTGTGATGAGAACCTTCTCCACGAGGATGTGAACCACTATTTCGGTTCCTGAAGGAGTTACGTTGTTGCGGATGATCATTATTGCTGTGAGATTGCGACCCAAATGCATTTCTATGGGTATGCTCCTTCGGAGGTGGGTTACTTGAAGGCAGTTCACCACCTTGACCAGAAGATGATTGATGCTGGGGAGCACCACCATTAGAGGAGGCATTTGCATTATTTCGTTTCATCGATCTCTGGCGCATAAGTCCAGTATGGTTTGGAGTAGAAGGATTCCCTTGCTTCGGTGATGAGATAGTTGTGATTCCAGTTCCCTATGCCAACCACAGCAAGTAATATAAATGTACATATGCACATAGAACGCAAACAATCCAACATACTGAACATCAAATAATACAAAAACCCAAAGTCATCATCACTTTACGTTGTTATGCTCCAACATAGTGAATCATTTTCTATACATAAATTTTATTTTAATGTCTCAAACAATCAGAACCAACTCTTCACTCCACATTTTCCTTCACTATTTCAATGCATAGGAATCTTTTGATTATCCATTTACCCAAAAGTTTTCCTTTTATTTAAAAAGATTATGCATCTCAAAATTTATCAGCAAACCACCATTTGAATACAGAGAGCTAATACTGCATTTTTTTTATTATAGTAAAATTCAACTAAAATTTAGCATTCAGCGAAAAACCAAGTGTTATAGTTTTAAATTTTCCCAGCAACCAAAAAATAGCAGAGAGATTCAAGAAAGAAACCTGCGGTACGGAGACAGACAACAACGAGGGTTCTGATACACCTTTGAGAGATTCAGAAGACGATTTGGTGGAAGCCCGAGCCGACTCGGACAAGGCAGGCCAAGACACAGCTCCCATTACAGGCCCAACCTCGACAGCCCCATTAGAAGGCTTGTTCCAAGCTGGCCTCTTACCCGCATTGCCGTTATCTGATCCCTCACCCACCGACTCCTCCACCGGCGGAGGAGAAGACGAATTCGACTGAGGAGCCGAGTTAGACTGAGTCTGATTAGCCGAAAAAGAAGAAGGAAGGGGAGGAGGTGCCGCCGCAGCGACAGCTGGCTCAGTCACAGCCGCCGATGGCGACGAAGGAACGGCCGCGATCGGCTCAGATTCGCCGCGGACGATTTGAGTCCAAGGCGACGAGACTGACCTGGTGGGGCGCCGCGATTGGGTCGGGCTGCTGACACTCTCGCCAGCGTTACGCGGCGACTGCAAGGCCGGAGACGGCGCCGTTTCGGGGTTGCTGCTCTTGTTCGTGGCGTTAATCGCAGCCATAACAAGAACCAAACAAAAAGGCTAGGGTTTGCGAGAGCCGCGATAGATACAGTCGGCGAAATCGGAATAATAAAATAGAGTGATCAAAATTTCTGAGCGATAAGGGTTTCGAACAATGTGCAAGTTCAAAAATTAGGGTTTCCAAAGATTTGGGACGATCGGGATCGCGGAGGAGAGAGAGGAGGCCGAGGGAGGGAGGAGAGAGAAGGGGGAGGAGGAGCGAGAGAGGGTCTCTGGAGATTTTCTCTTCTTTTGGGTGGTGTGTTTGTATTGTTTCTTCTCGGCTATTGTGCCTTAGTTGTGCTGCCGCGGTACCTTGGATGCGCAGGTTTTAGATGACGATAAGATTACTTAAATACCCCTGCCGCGTAGCCGCGGGGAGGGGCTGTGTATGTTTTAGGTCATCAAACACCTGAGCGACATGGGATTCAGAATGTAATTACGACTGTGACTCCTTTAGCTTTTTACTGCGTTTACTTTTACCATTAACCTACCTTGCTGATAGTTACAGTTCCACGTGGAAGAAACTTTGAGCACCAATAGGATTCTGCCATGTGGCGCAAATACAGCATGGAATATAGATGTTGGTGTTTGGGGTGTATCTCATTTACATCTCAAATTTTGGTAACATATCTTTACTTTAATATCTTCCTAATTCAAGAAGATGATTCCCGTAGGGTGTCATGTTCCTGTCGATCTACAAGTTGATCAACGTGTAGAATGATACGTAATTCAATAATTTATACTATTAATCATAAAAGTATGCAAATTCCAAATCAATTTTATATTCATACCGTTTTGAAGTTGTTCAATGTGTTGCGACTAAAAATGTCACCCCTCAAAATTGGAGTCAACCTTATTAGATTCAGATTGAAATTGAACACCTTGTTGATTGGGCTCAAATTACTCTTGAGCAGACTTTACATATTCAATGTGACACAATGAGCCAACCAAAATTACATATTTTAAATGTGGGCTTCAAGCCGCTCCAGCCTTTTTCTCTCTTGCAGGAAGCCCCCAAAATCTCAGCCCTCGCCGCCGACTCCTTCCTCTGGTTGGGGTCGGCCGACATCCCCTTGCTGCTATCCTTTTCTTTCACCTTTCTAGCCCGTTACCCACGCCCTCAAGTCCTCCTCGTTCCCCCTTCGCCCCTTTCTTTCTTGATGCATCCCAGCTCACTACCCACACCCTCAGGTCCTCATCCTTCCCTATTTCAAGCCTTCATTTCCATTTCCTTTTTCTCCTCCTCCTCTGTTTTTATTTTTTCCTACGATGCTTTATTTCTGATTTGAGCTTTGTCTCAACTTTCTTGAGCTTTGTCTCAATTCCCTAAGCTTGTCTCAGATCAGAACCTTCAGACACCTCTCTTGCTCCGATGCTTTTTTTGGTCACGTGTCCTCAACTACCGACCACTGTTACTCGGCTCCGGGTGCTTCTCTTCGGCGATGCGCTTGGGTTTTGGGTGGCTGTTAAAGTGCATTTTGCACTATTTGGCAGGATTATGGGAGCGCTCACTGCGCGGGTGGCTCGCTCATCCCCATTTTCCGTTGATCCAGTTGCTTTGTTTGGTTCATTTTCTTGGTGGTGGTGGCCTTGCAATGGAGGCGTGTCATGTAATACCCTGAAAAATTAAAATATAAATTAGTTATATTTATGGTTATGGTTATGAAACTCGAATGGGGAAAATGTGAAATCCCACTTCCGGATTTTATTATTATTTATGTCGTATAATTTTTCGTTAAGTGGGAAACGACGAAAATGTCCCATTTTTTGTTAACATAATTATACGAGGACGTATTTTATCCTCATATGTTTTATCATATTTCTTGATATATTTGGATAGAACTCGATTTCACGAGTGTGTCGGCGCAAACCGTTCATGAAACGAAGTTATAACGAATAAGCTATGAACGAGCAAAGTTAAGGACATTTTGGTAATTTTAACCTTCTTTAGAAGGCTCCAAATTTTCTAGAGCCATGTGATATGCCACGTGTGTGGCTGGGATGAAAGGAAAAGAAAAGAAAAGAGAGAGATGGACGGCTGGGATGAGAAGGAGAGAAAAGAGGAATGAGACTGGCCAATCAGGAAGAGAGGAAATGAGGGGAAATGAGGGAGAAGAAAAAGAGGAAACTGAACCCCTTTTTGACCCACAACCCGACTCGGCGGGTTCCATGGCATCCGACACCATTTCCAGTGATTTTCCGGCGAATTGAAGCCACTCTCACCACTAGAAAATATTCGACAATCCTCCCCTTTCCAATTTCAACAAAAAATCAAAAGTATTGGCCTCGGTTTCATGGGAAAAAGCCTTGGTGGGTGCGGTAGGAATATTGGCGACGATTCGCCGTTTTCTGCAACCCTCCCCATCGATCATCACCATCAAAATACCTCCCTTCAGCTCAGGAACAATGCCCAATCATTGGTTGGAGCATCAAAGTCGATTTGAGAACGAATCAAGGAACACCCAATTCTAGGGTTTCGGCGGATCAAGGCTGATTTCAGGCGGTTCCCGGCCGAGTTGGACTTCGGCCCAGGTATGAAAGTTGTTCCCCTTGGCTTGTTTTACATTATGTGAAATTTGGTAATTTTTTGAAATAGTTGAATTTTTTTTTACGACTCGGGGCGGCGGTGTATAGGTTGAGACCCCACCTGCCCTTCCTAGACTAATTTGAATACCCTGATTCCATATGTGATGTTCAATTGATGAAATTTCGTCGTATGACTATAGTTTTGATAAAGATCGCCACTTGGACATTATATGAATCAATGATCCGACCGTTGGATCATCACCAAACTTTAATATGTAATAGTACATAATATTTGAGGACGATAGGAAGTTACGGATCGGGAATCTAATCCACGGATCTTCCCGAATTGGATTTCTAAGTTTGTAAAATCAAACGTTGACTACCACTTGAATTTGTGATTGGCGAAGATCCAACCGTTGGATCATAATGAAATTTTAGTATGTTGTTCTAGAGGTATAATGTGGATGTTGAGAAGTTACAGATCATAAATCTGATAGGCGGATATTTCAGTTTAGATTTCTAGGGTTGTGAACCCTATCATTGATCTTGATCGACAGTTGACTTTTTATAGTCAACCAAATCGAGTTTCTAGGGTGCCGTTTATCTTAGAGTGTTGTTGACATTTCATGAAGCTTGGTGGGCTCATTGCGCCGACGGGTGTCTTGTTTTATGTATGAGTGATTATAATATAAGTGATTTATATTGAATTGTTATTTTATTTTATTATCATTGATATATGTTTGTGAATTGTGAACTACAATTGGCTTGATCCCTCCAAAAGGTAGGTAGTATAACGAGAAGTTAGATGCAGCCATAAAATAAATGAGATTAAAATTTTAGTGGAAAATCGTCAAATTGAGAAATGTTAGAATGGTTAGTAACATAAAGGGTGACTGTGACATTTTCGGCCTACCACTAAAGGTAAATTACGAAATAAATTGGCGGGGTGTTACAACTCATATTTGGTGGTGGCTGCTGGTTTCCTCTTTAATTGTAGGGTTTATGTTGTTTTTTAGTTTGGTCCTTTTGGGCTTTTATGTTGTATTTACTTTTTCTTGTTAGGCTTGTATTTATGTTATGGAATGGCTTTTGAGTAGGTCTGGCAAACGGGTCGTGTCTATCGTGTTCGTGTCGTTTTCGTGTAATACCTGTTATCTTAACCGTTATGACCCGTTAAGAAAAATATTTTTTTTCTTTCTTAAATTTGCACATACCACACATTGCCACATAAATATTACTTCAAAACATTAAAACACATTTGTCGTTTAACTATTACATTTATACTCGAAAATAAGAGCCTAATAAACAAACATCCATACACTACTAGTCTATTACAAAATATTAAATGTGCAAGGATATGCAAAATGAAAGAGTTTTTGTTTTCAAGGTTGTGAAGCCTTTCTCAAAAGCTTAAACCTAATGGAACTCAAAGCTTGCATGTTATTTCTTTTACAAAATCCTCAATTTTCATTGATCATCATGACATAAGATTTTGTGGTATCCATTAGTGTAAATATTTTAAATTGAAAATCGAATTCATTCATTGTATTCATATAGGGTCAAGGAGTGTAGCTGTAAAAAATCATCAAAATCGGAGTTAAAATAACTGTTAAATCATGATTTTTCGTCTCGAAAAGTTTTGTCCGTTACTTGATCTCTGAATGTTTGTTTTTTACGATTTTTGACGTATGCAATCTTGAAGCATATACAAACAAGTTTGACGGTTGGATCGTTGAAATTAGTTTCGTATAATGTGTATCCTATCAAAACAATAGATTCATTAACACTTAAAAGTTTATTTATACTTTCGTTAAGTAGAACATAAGATTTTGTGGTATCCACCTATGTAAATATTTTAAATTGAAGATCGAGTTCATTCATTGCATTTATATATGGTCAAGGAGTGTAGTTGTAAAAAATCATCAAAATCGGAGTTAAAATAACCGTTAAATTGTGATTTTTTGTTGATAACCGTCGAAAAGTTTTGTCCTGTTACTTTATCTCTGAATGTTTTTTTTTTGCAATTTTTGGTGTATGCGATCTCGAAGTATATACAAACATGTTTAAAAGTTGGATCGTTGAAACTAGTTTTGTAGAATGCGTATCCCATCAAAACAATAGATTCACTAACGATTAAGAGTTTATTCATACTTTCAACATAAGATCCACTAGTGTAAATATTTTAAATTGAAGATTGAGTTCATTCATTGTATTTATATAGGGTCAAGGAGTGTAGCTGTAAAAAAAAATCAAAATTGGAGTTAAAATAACTGTTAAATCTTGATTTTTTGTTGATAACCGTCGAAAAGTTTTGTCTCGTTACTTGATCTCTGAATGTTTGTTTTTTGCTATTTTTTGCTGATGTGATCTCGAAGCATATACAAACAAGTTTGACGGTTAGATTGTTGAAATTAGTTTCATAGAATTCGTATCCCATCAAGTTCAATGGTGTATATATATATATTAAGTAGATTTAAATTTATATATTTTGTACGTATAACACTTAAGAAATTGAATGATATGTATATTTAAGCTGATCCAATGGTCATCAATTTTTAATATTTAATTTAGGGGCTTTTAGATCTAGCTCCAAAAGCATAGATGGTTTCTAAGAGTGAGTCCAGTTATTTAATTACATGTTTTTATTTCTTTTATACTCATTTTATCTTTTTAAAAAATATTAAAAATCAATTAAAATATTCTAATATTATGCATTTTTCAACTCCAAAAAATCTAATTAATATCTTACAACAACAAAAACTAATATACTAACATAAATTATCTACAAAAC